TTGACATGACTGTAGACTAAGAAACTTCTGTCAGTTCCCAGTTCGAGATACCATGATAAGTGACAGAATGTAACATAATGATAAAAGTTGAATCTAAATTGAAGTTTAGTAATCCAATTGAAACAAACCCAACTGAGATATGAAATCTCGACTATGCAAATGAAATTTACCCATTTAAAATAGAAATGTTGGGCATCCTATAATTTATTTTTATCTTGGTCAAACGCTTGTGAAAAATAATCTCACCTCATTGGCTGATATGTAACCATTTTGATCCTTGTCAAACACTTTGAAAGCTTCTTTAAGCTCCTCCTCTGCATCAGTTTCCTTATTGTCCATAAATTAACACACAGATCAATCTTATTTAATCAAAAAAATGGTAGCAAAAACAAATAATTTACTGCTATATAAATATTATATGACTGTGCATGGTATATTAGTTGAATTACAGAATGCAGGTATTACCTTCATTTTTTTGCCCATTAGATTCAAAAATTCTGTAAATTCTATGGTCCCATTTCCATCGGAATCGACCTCCTTGATCATATCATGAAGTTCTTCCTCGGTTGGATTTTGGTCCAAAGATCTGATCACCGTGGCTAATTCTTCAATGGTAATGCAACCTGCAAAATATTCGATTCCCAGTTTATATGAATTACTAAGTGAGAGAATCTAGAGTCTAAAAACAAGACGAACCATCTCCATCTTTGTCAAAAAGATTGAAAGCCTCTTGAAATTCAATAATCTGTTCTTCATTTAGAACTTCCGCCATTAGAGAGAGAGAGAGAGAGATACAGCTCAATATTGGTTGGGTTTTTATAATAGAATTCTAAAGAGACAAATGAGGTTTATAGATGCACTCTCTTTCCATTACAATGAGAGTAAAGTTAGTAGATCATATATATTAGATAATTAATTGTAAGGTTGATAAAGTTTTAAATTTTATTTCTCCATTAATATTGATCATTTTTATACACTTTATCGTACCAAAGTAGTCATAATAATTTACTTAGAAATCCAACTGCGGCATTTTCTCCACCCTCACGGGTAATAGTATGGCTACTCTTGAGAGAAACGGGCAATTAAAACAATGGAGTTTAATTGTAGCAACATATTGATTGCAGTTCAATGACCTTCCCTTACGCACTTGATGGTGCAATTTGTAATCACTTTGTGGAATTGATGGCCACTTTTCCGTACATCTTTTGGTCATCTGTACGAAAGTTAACAATTGGGAAAATGTATGCTCTAGCTGGAGTCGTCTTTGACGAGTTTCAAGCTAGCTTATGGTCGAGTAGACTTCCTCATTGCATATAACTGTAAATATTTTAGTAGCTAAAGTTGATCAATAAAATTTACGGTGTTTCGTTTTTCTTTTTAAAAAAATCTTAGAAATTTTGATCTTAATGTCACTAGTCAAGCAATCAATTACCATAAAATGTGGTTGATGTACGCTTGAGCCTTGATGTCAGTGATAAATATATGTATATATTAATGTGAACAGCTGTATGGTTAGATGTAAAGGGAACAAAAGCATTCAAAGAGAAGACTGGAATGGGAAGGCGGGCACTTCATAGCCCAAACTTTACACCCAAAGAGCCCGTAAAATTGCTTGCACGAGGTTTGCTACTTTTAACAATGCCGCCAGCCTTACACGTGACTCCCAATTTTCTTTAGCATCGGTCAAGGTGAAGTAAAAATTTCTTTTTATTTATTAGACAACGGATCAATGAAATTTCATGTCACGTAGACTAGTGCTTCCGTCATGTATCATTACTCTTATTGAAAATACATGTGAAGATATAACAAATATAGAACTTATGAATTTATCACTAATTTTGTCTAAGTAAAAAGTTAATCCTCAGTCTTTAATTATAGTCATGGAGTCAGTTCCCAACAACATAAATAACCCAAAACTATGTCATTCCTTAGCTGGCTGTCTACTCATTCCAATTAAGGTGCCATGCAGAACTTTGTTTAATTAATGAGAAATGAATTTTTTTTTTTTAAAAAAAGCATTTAATTTTCCTCAACCTATCTAGCACCCATGCTTGGAAGCCATTTTGGCCGGCTATTGATACAATTTTTTTGCCTGTTGAAAGGTATATGGGACCCATCTTTACAGTAATTATTGATTGCACATCTTTGCCACTTACTGGAATTGCCCGTCTTTAAAGAAGAATAGATTTTATGTCAAATGGCATATTGATAATTTTACGTATATTTAGTCAATAATAACTGCACCCCTCTCTAACAAACACAGTATAACAAACGAATTTCTGCTAAAAAAAATTGCTCCAAAATGCGAAAAACACAAGCTCACAAATTTATTTTCTCATTCTCTTGTAAATTCTATAGAATTGTTCAATGTTTTCTTGACAATTGCCAAGTCAATTTGGCTATGCCACTTCCCGGCTGTCAACTCATTCCAATTAAGCACTTTGGTTAGTTAAACACAGGTAATTAACAAGTAGTTTGAGCTGTGGGCAGTGCGCTGACTTAATCCTCACGATTTGCACATTAATCAATGACTTTACGGCGTCAAACAACATAAATGTGCTTAGCTGTCCACGCGGTTTTGCTTGCTGTTGGCTCACTTGACGAGGCACAATTTGTTTTACACTAAAACGTGTTGGTATTGGCTAAGCTTAAAAAGTAGGGTAATATTATTCATCCTCGGTAAGGATGAAAATACAGTTTATGTATCTTTAAATAATAAGTTAAATGAAAGGCTAAATTAAATAACTTCTTTAATTTCACATATCATTTAATGTCACATTGACGTCATGTAGACTTTGTTTTTGTTCCCAATGAAAATGAATAACATTACTCTAAAAAGTATATGCTTGGGTGGACCCGGGGGTCCTGGGGCACTGCCCCCAACTTTTAAGTTTTTTTTTTTATTATTATTATATAAAATCATGTTTGATATCGATTGAAATATAAATTTTAATTTAAATTATAGTTAACAATTAATTTTAATAATATATTTTATGGAATCCATAATTATTTAACTTTTATCAAAATTTACTAAAAATTTGATTTTAATCTTCATCAACCAGGGGCAAAATCACAATTAATTTTAATTTTTCTCTTTTTTTTTTTCGTTGTTTAACAAAATCTTAACTCTCCATCAAATAAGAGCGAATTATTGCATTTTTTTGTTTTTTGATACCCAAGTGTCCACCTTTGACGACTAATCATGGGATCTACGCCTTGGCCCCTCAAGACGCAGATCAGGTAAACTACGGGATGTGCCCCAAACTGGTCAGAGTCCAAGAGCCCCCTCCAATAATCTGCCAAAGTGCCGAGGAACAAAATATTGCATTCTTAATACCATTTCGAAGTGTTCAGGGTCTAGTTTTATACGTCATTAATGTCGTACGAAACGATCAATCGTAGCAACTGCTACAACTTGTCAAAATAAGCTATTCAAAGTTAGAATTTCGAAAATTTCGATAACATGCTAAATTTATAAATTTTTCGACGATCGTACACTAATCGAATATACAAATTGCTTATTTCATCTCAAAGAACTACATTATAACCATATCAAATAATCAAAATAGATATCCAAAATTATTAAAAATACGTTAAACGTGAATTTTAAAGAAAGACGTTTATTTCGCATTTTCTTTAAAAAAACTTAATTCTTTCATTAACATTTATTATTTTTGTAATACAAATTTCTCAATATAATTTTCATCCCTTTATTAGGAAATTTTTTATGGAATATGACATAAATTTTTTTCGAAATTTTACATCTGAAAAAGTCATATTCCATGTAAATTTTCGAATGCAAAATTACATGGGGTATGATTTTTTTGGACGTAAATTTTTCGATTGTAAAATTTTTCTCAATTTCTTTACAAGTTCGATTGTGCCCTATAACATTTAAGTTCTGCATTCACCCCTGAATATATGTCATTAAATTGCACTCAAAGCCTCCAATCTTTTGTTATCACACTTTTATCCTCAACCTTTTAATAATAAGCAGTTGTTGACCAATAGTTGATTATAACCTTAAAATTTAATTATAACAAACTAGTTAATTTTGTTTATTAACAATTGTAAAGTGATTATAGTGTTCAAAGCATATAATGATAAATTGATCGATCATTGTCCAAAGATTAAATCAGGACTATTTCAAATTGGACTCATTAAGAAGATTAAGATTGAAGTCACACATTCAAGACAAGTCCTTCGAGAAATGATCTTAAAAAAAAAACGTAAAAAAAAAAAAAGATTAAGATCAAAAGTTTAAAAGTCAAACTTTAAAAAAAGATCAACAGGAGAGCCTAATAGCCAAATTTTGAAATAAGATCAAAAACTATATTTTTTAGTTCAAATATAAAGGTAATAATATTTTGATATTTAGCAATGAATGATAAAAACTCAAAAATCATTTTGTATACTAAAAGCTATTTTGATTATCGCATGAATAAAATATTTTAATTAAAAGTAAAATTGATTTTCAAAATAATGTTTGAACTTAAATCATATTTTTTAAAAATCATTTACCTTGAATGCTAGTTAAAAACACTTTCAAAAAGTCTTCATTTATCAAAATATTCAAATCGGATCAAATGGGGTAAAAATGGCAAAACCGGCTGAACCGGTAGCAACTGGCTGGACATCTGGCCAAAGGATGTGGACATCCAGATAGTTGTCCGAACTATTGTCTGAAATCCCAGAGAGTTTGGCGGACGTCCAGTTGGTCTATGCGCACCACGATCAAGTGTTTTTACCGTTGTGGTTTCATTGCATAACGGCTATTTTGGTCATCTAGACATAAGGAAGGACATCCGGATGGTTGTCCAGTTCGACAAATTATTTTACTTTTTAAACTATAAATACCCTCACTCTTTCTATTATTTGTAATACTTTCAAAAACATCAAAGTGATATATATTTTGATAGAATTCTTTGAGCTCACATTTACATTCATTTCATTTATTTTTTCATATAAAAAATTTTGATTGATTCAAACTTTTTAATCATCACCTCATCAAAAATTTTCATCACTCTTTTTGTACTTAACTTATTTTTATTATTCATAAAAGAGATATATTTCAAAGAAGATCTTTGGAGCTATATTGCATTCATTTCATTTATTTCTTCATATCAAAAACTTTGATTGTTGAATCAAACTTCTTAAATTACAATTTTATGAAATTTTCCCATATTTTTCTTGATACTTAACTTATGTCTATCATTCACAAAAGATAGATATATTTTAAAGAAAATTTTTGAACTTATATTGCATATAATTCTTTTACCCTTTTTTTTAATATCAAAACTTTAATTGATTCAATCAAACTTGAAAAATTATTATATTCATCAAAGTTTCTCATCCCTCTCTTGATACTTAATTTATTTTTATTATTCATTAAAAGAGAGAAATATTTTGAGAAGATTTTGAACCTATATTGCACTTATTTCTTCTTTATCTTCTCCTTGAAAAACTTTGATTAATTGAATTAAATTTTGAAATCATCATATTTATCAAAGATTTCTTGCTTAATACTTGAACTATTATTTATTACTATTCATCGAAGTTTTAGCTTTTTTTTTTTAAGACTTAATTCATCTGTATCATATATTAAGAATGAAATTTCGTTGTAAAATCATTGTTCTAAACTCGTGGGTCATATTGAGGTTCACGTGAAAGTTCAATAGCATAAGGACTGGTGCTCCTTATTGTAAGTCAGTGTCTGTGTCATAGGTCCCGTAAAGTCAATAACATAGGTCATATTGAGGTCCTGTAAAACTC